GTAAATTCTTGTAATCATATCTACCTGCCAAGTCTTTAAACTCCTGTCACACACTTGGCGTAGCCTTTGTAGAGGCCCTGCACAGTTCACCACTGTGATCAATCAGTTTTAGTTCTTGAAGTAATGTTGCTAGCAGAGAAAATTAAAGCCCATGGAATGCCTGTTGATATTGGTCTTACCAGGTATGGCCCTCGGACACATTGGCATGCGACTCGCTGCATTTTGTATCATTACTTTTTTAGTTCTAGATTAAATCATTTGCTATATTTCAGTAAGTTCAGTGGGTTTTTCTTTTAGTTATATTTTTCTTGGGTACATATTCCATCTACAAGTTATGTTGTCGAATGACTATTTTAGGCTTCTCTGGGTAGCTTGTCTGAACAACTGCATGAATGAATGCACTGATTAGAAAAATTATCTGTTTATATTGCCTTGACATGACATTCCAAAATTTTCAAGATGGCGCCTATGTATGTATATTGGATTAAATTCTTGAATTGTAAAATGATGTGAGAGAATCTATGAAACATCAATTAGTAATGAGCATATGTTATCAATTGAAAATCATATATATATTTGAACTAGTTTTCAGGAGTTTCAATTGAATATAAATATCTTTGACTTGGAATGATATGAGGTACATTAATTTTGAATGAAATTATACTGAATTTTGATCTTTATTGAAGATTAATATGATTCAATTTCAAAGATAATTTCTTCATCAACAACAACATATCATGCAAACATGTAGAATAAACTTTTTGTAATTCAAATCCATAAATTGAGGGGCTAATTGCTTTTTTTTAAAAAAAAAAAAATCTAATTTAGTATAATTTCAGCTTTTAATGAGTTAGAATACTTGGAAAAATGTCGTCTTAAAACTATCACATTTTAGTCTAGAATTATTATTTTTTTAAGAGTTTTAGGTAATTTAAATAGTTTTTGGCTCTGAATGATACGAGTTCTGATTTTAGAAGTTGTTATATTGATTTTTAATCTCAGATTGAAAATTAGTTTAATTTTATTCATAATCACTCTTTCATCTTATTTGTCAACTGAAAGAGGTTTTGACACTAAAAAGAAAAAAAAAAGAAAAACTTTATACTTTTGCATTTGGAATAGTTAATCTCGCTTGTGGTTTGGTTAGATGGTGGCATATGCACTTAGGAAAAAAATTCCTAAACAGAATTAGTCCGATTTGGATTTGGATTTTATTTTATTTTATTTTTCAAATAAAAAGAAAGAATGTTACAATTATATGTGGATGTATAAGCTTAAAATCTTTTAGATGCATTCAATATAATTTAAAATTGAGATGCACTCAACTATTGAATCCTCATCATAATAATATTCTAAAATACTCCAAAAAAAAAAAAAGAGAGAGAGAAATGAGTGTTACAATCATAGGTGAGCATAGATGAGTAAGTGTGAGATGTTTTAGATAAAATTTATTAACATATATTTTATTTGAACTGAAATACATTTGGTTATAAAATTCACATAACTTTAAATGGTTTCAAACTAGCACAATTCTACAAAACATGATTCTAAGAAGGATCGTAATTAATTTTTATATTGTACGGTGAATTTATAATAATTAATTATCAAATTGACATTTTTTTTTTAAGTTTTTATGAACCAATGGATGTATTTTAGTTCATTTTCGAGTATAACAAAGCCGACATCACAATTTTTACAATTCTATTATTATTACATTATTCTATCAAGGATTTTAGTGAATTTTATTTTTTATAATTTATGATTTTATGATAATTAATTATGTTTTTAGATAGCTTAATTCAGTTTATTTTTTAGTATAATGAGATTAACTTCAACCGAATTATCTCCCAGTTTCATAATTATTATTGAAAAATAAATTATTTTTATTTTTATTTTTTATCAAATTTATTATTACCTAATTATATATATATATATATATATATATATATATATAGTATTTTAGTTTATTTTTTAATGTAACAAATCAACCTGATCTCAACCTTTCACAATTCTATTAGTACATAATTCTAATAAGGATTTTAGTAATTTTTTATGATGATTTTATGATAATTATTTATTAAATTTAACACACTATTTTTTTTTGTTGGGTTCTATTAACAAGTGTATTTTTGTAGTGAGTCATCTTCCATGAAAATATGTATTTATTTTAAGAAATGTTATATTATTTTTTATTTTATAATAAATTTAAGATAATTAGTTATTCAATTTAGTATTATATTGTACACATGATGTTTTTCTTTCCTTCTTTTGTCTTTTAGAGAAAGAAAGAAAAAAATACTTTCATCTATTTGCTCGCTGACACATCATTAGAAAGATTAAATTATTTTCTTATAATAAATTTAAGATAATAAATTATTTAATTTAGTATATTTTAATTCATCTTAAAACATAATAAAAATTGGATTTATAAATTCCTACGTTAAGCTACATAATAAAAATTACAAAATTATGATTGTTCGTTTGGTTTCTAAAGTTTTTATTTTTTTTTCTTTTTCTTTTTTTCTTTCTTACACATCTCAAGTGTTTGTCGAATTGTGTATGAAACTATTTTGTTTTGCGAGACGTTAAGACTTGTTTATCGTATGTCTTTGATCTAATCAATTTATTTTTCTAGAGATCTGGACTTAAGTGAGATTACAACTAAATTGATTTTTTACAGATAAACAAAACAATGATGCATCATGACCTAGATATCATGACATTGATACGAGGATACCTGACAATTTAAATAATTTCAACTAAGTTGATGATATTGTGTTACACATGATGTTTTTCTTTCTTTTTTTTGTATCTTTAAAAAAATATCTCATCTATTTGTTAGCCGACACATCGTTACCAAAATTGGAACGTTGACTAAAAAAATTTCTTTCCGGCTCCAGGTTGGATGCATGATTGTAGAAGACGTAGACGCCACAAGATAGCAAAAACGTGGGCTTTTCTCGTTCCGACAATTTGGACCGACCTGTTGGATTTAGTTGGCACTCCAATCTTAACACCTACCTTTCCAAATCCATCATCCGTAGTGGTGGGATTTTGCTATCCCACCAAATGTGCAAAGTGAGATCCCGATACAGTACGGTGTTTGGTGCACAGTAGTACCATTTCTTACGTACGTACGATAGATAGATTGATAGATATATCATCACCTGTCTAAATTTAGTTGACGCAATCTGTCATCGACACGGAAGCACCAAAGGTAATGTATATTATTTATTATCCATGTAAATGACAGGTGCGTTGTACACGTCAAATCCACTATTGATGTCTGGGAACCATAATTAAAATCAAGCTTCCGTCTTGCTTTTGATTTCGTCTCAATATCATAGGACTTAATCTACTATAAATCTTTTAATATAAATAAAACACCAAATTTATTAGTCTCAGTCAACATTTACAGATAATTAACAGAGTGGTGCAATTCAGATTAGATTTGACGTTGACCGGAAGCCTTTGACTTTAAAGCTATTTTCTTTTCCTAAACGTGGTTGAATGTTTTTGGACATAACGATAAGAAAAATAACAATTTGATATTCCCTTATCCTCTCTCTCTATCTCTCTCTCTCTCTCTACATCGAAAAGAGAGAGAGCTTTGTTTGATTATTTACTATTGACTTGGACAATTGCCCACAGAACTAAGTAAGAGGAAGATTGACATTACAATGTTCCTCTCTTTCTCGACTAAGTCTGTCTGAAGGAAAGAATACAAGCGAAAGACAAAAAATGTTCCAACTCATGTGATCTATGTATTTGTAATAATATCATGAACATATCTTAAGTCTTAACTGCGGATTCATGGGATGAAAGAGTGTAACATAATGTGATACATGATCAAAACCCAAGACAGGTCGAACACTTAAACTCTATAAAATTACTTTTGTATAAGACCCAACAGCCATGTAGTCAATCACAAGTAGCTGAAACGATTAAGACTTTATTGATGTTCTTATGGTAAATAATAATTAAAAATAATGTAAAAGTATATGAAAATTTGAGTTAAATAAAAAGTGGTACCAAAATTATTATCATTTTATTTTTACAAAAGATATTTAATATCGGCCTTACGAGATCTAACCTTACCAAATAACAGTACGAGATAGTGTGGTAATAGATTTGGATAAAAAAAAGAGAGAAATATATATATTTTTTTATAATATCTATCTTGGTGTGGGAGATAGTAATATAATTAATGCGCGGTGACTTCTATATTAATTAGGAGTTTAAATCCTAAACCCTATATCTTTTATGAATTTGAATCTTATACTATTCAAAAGTTAAGGGTCCATCGTAGAAACAAGGAATATTAAGAGAGCAATAATGCAAGAGCTAAAGAACATCAATAGAGAGGTGTTTAGCTTTTTTTTTTCTTTTTATTCGTTGGTCCATTTATTTTATATTATTGGTGTTTGAGATTCTTTCTCTTTTTTCTTGCTTTCACGTTATGGGAGATGGGAATAATGCATCTAAGAGGATCAAATCAATCGCAAATAAATAAATAAATAATTAATTAATTACATGTAGAGAGAGAAAGTAGGAAGTGATGACAAAATGTCAAATCGATTGTAATTTGAATCGAATAAGAATGACTTTTTTTTTTTTGTCAATATTCAAAACAAGAAGAGTTAGAAAAACTGATGGGTTTTTTTAGTCCCCCAAATATTTATGCTTTCTTGGTGCATTTGAGAAAGATGACGGTGTGGGAAGAACACATGACTTGCATATAAAAGTCAAAGGAGAAGCCATTTCCAAGGTCAAACCCAAAGAGAGGACCAAGTAAAGTTGGCAATCTTTGAGCGCCTCTCCATGCATCGACAATACATTGATTGATACGCGCACGCACACCCTTAACATGTCGTGAAAACCAAACCCTAAAAAGCCAATAACCTTCAATATACAATGACCATTTACGACTCAGCCTCGCGCGTTGACTTCTTCCCTCGTTGTATCTCTCTTCCCTTCTCCTTTATAAGTAACCAAGCACCGTACCAACTCGACCTTCCTCATCATCGACACCGCCTTTCTTCTGCCTTCCCAAAGCTTTGATTCGTTTGCAGCTATCGTTCGATTAGGATTGATGGAGGGAGTGGAAGTCCCGCCTTACTTCTTGTGTCCTATATCGCTCGAGATCATGAGAGATCCGGTGACCCTTTCCACCGGCATCACCTACGACCGGGAGAGCATCGAGAGGTGGATCTTCTCCGACAAGCATGAGATCTGCCCGGTCACCAAGCAAGCGTTGACGAACCTCGACGTCACGCCCAACCACACTCTCCGGCGGCTCATCCAGGCCTGGTGCTCCGCCAATGCCTCCGACGGCGTGGAGCGCTTCCCCACCCCCCGTCCCCCGGTCGACATGACCCAGATCGTGGCCCTCCTCGACGAAGCCAAGCTGCCGCAGACACAGATGACCGCGCTCCGAAGACTCAAGGCCATCGCGTCGGAGAGCGACCGCAACAAACGCTGCGTCGAGGCTTCGGGTGCCGTCGACGTTTTAGCTTCGATCATGGAGAAAAGCATCCACGGCTCGACAGGTGTTCTCGAGGAAGAACTTATAGTGTGCGATGGATTGGAGTCTGCAAGTGCTCCCGATGAAGCCCTCGCCATATTGTGCTCTCTCCAACTCTCGGAGAAAAGCCTCCTCGGTTTGATCCATAGGGACGTCAACTTCGTTGAACTGTTGACCAAAGTGTTGGGGCGATCGAGCTACCGAATCCGAGCTTACTCGTTGCTACTCCTCAAATCCCTTGTGTCGGTGATCGCTCCGGCCCGTGCATTGTCTTTAAGGGAAGAGTTCTTCGAAGAGCTCGCGAAGGTCGTACGAGACGAGATCTCACACCAAGCCACGAAGGCAGCACTGCAAGTTCTGGCCGCTGTTAGCCCCTGGGGGAACAACAGGTTAAAGGCAGTGAAAGCCGGGGCAGTGCGAGTGTTGATCGAGCAACTGCTCGATGAACCAGAGAAGAGAACGTGTGAGATGATCATGGTGATTCTATGTCAGCTGTGTGGTTGCGCAGAAGGGAGAGCCGAGTTGGTCGAGCACGCAGCAGGGATCGCAGTGGTGTCGAAGAAGATACATAGGGTGTCGCGGCTGGTGAGCAGGATGGCGGTGAAGATACTGTGCTCGGTGGCGAAGTCTTCGCCATCTCCGGCGGTGCTGCAGGAGATGTTACAGCTCGGAGCTGTTTCCAAGATGTGTTATGTGCTGCAGATGGATTGTGATGCGCAGGCCAGGGAGAGGGTTAGGGAGATATTGAGGTTACACTCCAAGGCTTGGAGGAATTCTCCCTGTTTAGCACCTCCTTTGAAGGCTTCATATCCCCCTCCTCCCTCTACATGAGAGGATAGATAGTTAATGTGCATAAAAAAAAGAATGTTAATTGATTTATTTAATTCTTTCTAATCTCAATTATTTACCTCTTTCCATTTCATCATGTCTTGTGTTTTGTCATGACAAAATGTTGAACTACTTCTTCCTGTGAATTTTAGATGTGATGTATGTATATATATATATATATATATATATATATATATATATATATATATATATATATATTATAGGGGTAGGTTATTCTCCCAAACCTTGGTATATGTGCATTTGATTTCCTATCATATATGTCAGATGCATTTTCTAATCAGATCTAATTGGGTTTGACAAGGTTATGGGTAGAATACATATATGGATTAATCGTTTATTTAAGTAAATTTGAATAGCTTAGAAGTTACTTTGCATAGATTGCTACATGAAAACATCCACAATAATTCTAATATAAATTTCTATTTTATCCGATGAATAAAAAAAAAGAAAAAAAAACCATATTATTATTATTGTTATTAAAGATATTAAATCATGATTGAAGATTTTATGAAGATTGATCATCAATCAAAAATAATATTATCTCGTTAGGAGAAAAGAAAAGATCATATGTTCGATTTAAAGTAATTGTAAATTTTTTTATTTTGTTTTTCTTGTACTGGCATCATATAAAAAGCGCTGTAACATTGTAATGGATGGAAGTTCTTTCCGACCTTAAGGCCACACCTATTTCTGATTCCATTGTCTACGCAGGTGCGAGTTTGGAAAGTTGTAATCTAATGTAGCTTCACAAAAGTGAATATTTATCCGACTAGAGGAGAAAGAGGAAAAAAAAAGGAAACCATCAGTCATTGATTTGTTGGATTCCAGTCATATTAATTTCATTTGCTCATTATAAATTTGGTTTTTGGGTTATGTCAGTGGTGAATTTTCTGTACATTATGGGAAGGCTGATTAGAATATATCGAATTTTTCTGAACCAGTCAGTTTAGTTTACTCAGTCCGACGAATTCTTACTGCGCCGTTTTCATCGAAATGTGACTGCAAGAATTGGCTTCTTCAGACACTTTCAAAGAAGTTGATCGGCAAAGACATATGGAAATAGCCCTCGTTTCTATCCCATCATCCCCTTTTACGTCACTCAGATTGGTAGAACATGGAAGTGGTTTTTGACGGATATGTTTCTGGTTCATGAGATTCTAGCTGGTCAAAACCAATGCTCTCGTGTTCCATGCATGACAATCCCACTGCATAAATTAATACAAACCATTTCTTAGTATGGATAATTTGAGGACTGGTGGAAGTGACTCTCTTGAATCAAATTTTGGCAGGAACGAGGACAAGATTGATTGATGTCTACTTGGAAAATAATGCTAATAGTCCACATACTACTATCATTAAAGATCCCCCCAATTTGCTGTCGTTACTGATATTACATCAACTACAATTGCACAGCACAGCAACTGAGGGATATATATATATTATGACAGGGAAGCTTTGGACTGATCCAACAAAAGATTGTTGTCAATGATACTAATATACCTAAAATGCAAGGTATTAGGTCTTTATAATTTGCCTTCCAAGTGGGTCTTTATAAACTTTGCCTCTGCTGAACAGGTCATACAAACAATAAAAATTTTGCTGGAGAAAGCTCTAAAAGGCCCAATGAGCCATGTAAGAGCTGACCTGCTCAATAGTCGTCGATAACTAACATTTTCCGATAGCAAACGCCACACAAGTCAAGCACTGCAAGTTACACAACTGAATTTACCTGTTCAGATCAAAAGCACAACTCCACATTAACTATGATGGTGGTGAGATTCCATAGGAGAGAGAGAGTATTGATCTAACCAAGAAATGGGAAAGAAACAATCACATACCATGCTTATCTATCTGCTGCTAAGTCTTTATCAGAGTACAGGAGCTTCATAACATTATATATTTATTTGTTGCACCTGCTCAGCATAATATTTACCATCCTCATGAGAAGATGCTAGAATTGGCCCTTCCGTGCTGGATCTTCCTATCGAACCTGAACATACTAGTGACGATTACCCCATGTTGAGGAATCAAGACTTGGGTTCCTTTTGTTATGAGAGATTAATCAAGACTTACAAGGAAGAGCAAAGCAGCAACCTATCAGGACTATACATGATTAAGAGAAAAAAAAATGACTATGTACCTCTGCCTACAAAGTCTAATACTGCGGCTCACCAGTTAAAAAAGACCACACGTAACTTGAATGGTATATACTACAGAATATGAAGGAGGAACACCAAGTCAAAATTACATATCTTCCTATGCTCAGGGTTGAATAGAAAGATAGGTGCATGCAACTTGATTCAGTGATTGCCATGCACAAGGCTCTGCAATCCTAACAGTCTGCTTCGGCGTAGGCTATAAGATATCGATACAAGCTAAACTCATATTACCAGCCATATACAGGATTCTGTACCTGAGGTGGCAAAAGACGCAAATCAACACTATGCTGCTTACCGTAGTCCCGTGACCCAGGTATTGCGCCTGTGGTTAACCTCAATATTTCATTTCCCGTGAAACAATAATGAGCAAATGCCAAACCCCCATCCATCACATCTGACAAACTTGGCATGGAAATTGATTTCTTCATCTTCCGGCCGTAAATTGCTTTGTCACCATTCATGGGTTCTTCATTGTTTAAGATTTTGTCAAGCTCAGAGTACTCCATAAACCTCTGAGTTGCAGCCTCCCATGACAAGTTATGTCTCTGCTCAGGGGTAAGTGGTTGAGGGTCACTGGCCATTGCTTCTTTCACTCTAGAAACGAAATCCTCTGAGGTCTTGTAAGTTAAACAGTTAGGAAATGCCCTGAAAAATTCATTTGATGGGTGATCGGCACAAATAACAAACTTCCCCATGGCAAGAGCCTCTGCGGTTGCTGTGCACAGGACATCACTGACGCTAGGGTTTACAAAAACTTTGTACCTGATGAAATACAATACAAAATAAAAGGAAAAGAATAAGATGGAAGTAACAATAAGGGAAATGCAACAAGAAACAGCAAGCTAGACACTACTAAATGATCCTTACTCATGAAGTGAATCGTCTGCATGATCCCTTCCTCTAAGGAAGTTAAGATTCAGGTCCAACTTCTTGGCAACAGATTGAACTTCCTGAGAATCCTCGCCATTTCCATATACATCTAACTTAAAACCTTCCAAGTCACTTTTGTGCTTCGCTAACAGATCTATCAGTTCCCTATAACCTTTTGCCCAAACCATCTTTCCAAGAAAATATGCTCCTTTGGAGAATGCCTGCTGCCCATGCACCCTCTCAGCTGCTACTTTTTCTCCGATCATAAGAAACTTAGGATTTACACCATGAACATTGCAAATAACAGACTTGGGTAAGTCCTGTGTTGCTGCAGAAAGACGCAAAACCTGCAGAAAGACTAACACTATTTTGTTAAGATACACATTTTCGCTAGCAGAATATCTGTTATTATAATGCTAAACATGACCAAAGTTAAGTACCTAAAATATTGGACTACCAGGATAACTGAATAAAATCACACAAATAATCTGAGGAAACAAGCTCTTACCTTATGACAGTATGCTCTAGTGACCATATTGTTTATATGTTTCACAAGAAATGCTTGGATAGCTCCATTTTTCTCTCTTTTGATGTACTCTAAGTAATTTGTGTGCACAATGCCAACAACATGATTAAACTTATCCGTCCAGCGCTTTCCATGGTGGTACCAGTTCAGGTGCTCTGGCTCTTCCAATATGGCAATGTCAGCTTCTTTTGAGGGAATAAATTGTGAAGTGTCTCCAGCAGGTATTATGCTTCGCCTTTCTTTTGAGAACTAAGACCAAAATAAATGTGTTAAAATTCTAGCATTTGAACATTTTAAAGTAGAATACATAGCATCATGTGGTTACCTTTCCTGGATAAAAAGATATTTTGAAATCTGCCTTAAAGCCAACCCTCTCCTCCAGCCAATTTCGTATATAAGCTTCTTGTGCTTCAGGAGAACTAAAGCTCAAGTTGTTAGGATAAACTAGCTCCTGATCTGATTTGCAAAGCCAAGGAACAACCAGTGTGACAGCTTGCTTTGCAGACTTTGCCAAATAAGCAGCTCGAAATAATGGGTTTACAGCAGTTCCTGTCATCCATGGTAGACTGGCAGTTGTTACTATTGCAACATGGTGCTTTCTATCTGCTGACTCATTCTTTACGAAACTAGTCCAAAATCCCCCTTCATAATGATGCCCTGTATTATGAAGCACACTGGCTATCCTTAAATCAAGTTCATCACTGATTTTCTCGTTTTCATATAAGGACTCTTCCTTGGCATAAAGAGAATGATGGTACATGACCTGATCTCTGTGCCTGCTGCACAAAGTTTCGACCATTTTTACATATATGTCTGCACAAAAAAAGATGTTAAATCATACCCAAACCCATATCCAACCATTTGATAAATAATTGCACATAATTATATATTTAGGAAGTGTCAGTAAGCCATATCCCTGAAGTTCTGTCAAAGCATGCAAACGACATGAGATGTCCACAGAATAGAAAAGGGATTTAAATATGAAGAATTATAATTATGTGAAACAAATCCAATTGAATGACGAATAAAAGAAGATGATAATCATGAAAGTGATTGACCAATTTTTGCAAGATGTATTAACACAGGGTCAATATTCTTAGGTTATAAAAATACAGATCAAAATATCTCAGAAAGACAGCATAACATTTCAAATGGCAACGTAGTCCAGACTTTTTTATTTTTCTTTCCCATCAAGAGCATACAACATAAACAACCGTAACTCCCAAAATGTTTGTTTGGCTACATGAATCTTTTCATTTCATTAGCTCTATCGAGGACAATGTCACCAGTTAATCAAGAGAAATCGTCACTCATGAAACATCTTCTGCAGCCACATTTGTTCATGCTCCTACGAGGCTCGACCATCCCAAATATTCCTCACAGTGACTTGACATCAAGAATATCCCTCACACAGAATTTGGGGGACATTCAACAGCAACAAACATAGAATCTTAGCCTTACACAATGGACCACCAAAACAGACTTCCTGAATTTCAGCTTTGGTGTCAATCGATTTAG